ACATCGCTGCGATTGTAATTGTGATATTCCGCGCTAACCAAAAAGAAATCAAAGTGTAATCAAAGCTATCTTATTCAGCGTTTGAAGATGCATCGTATGAAGCAAGGTACTTTTATGCTATCCGATGAGCAATGAAGAAACAACATCTTTCCGTGGACAAGGAGCTTTCATAAGAGTGTTAGTAATTCATTGAAAGCTCAAATCTTTGACCAATGCGCTACGTGCTCCTTTTATGGAAAGACTTTTTATGACCCTTTGGAGTTCAAAATGTAACTATATTTTACACCGCCTGTGCGTCTTTACTATTACTTTGTGAGAAGCAGAAAAAGCATATGAACGTGGAGAGGAAATTATGTAGTATCACAGTCATAAGTTTTTTCAAAAGTTTCTGTCAAAGCGAAGAAAAAATTCTCATTGAGTAACAAGAATCACACTACACATGTGAGCTGTGTCAGCGCAATCAATCAATCACTTGCCGAATGCGTATCGAGCCACGTCGGACATCTACCTGCATACACGCTAGTCGGCAAGTGGGCCGCGTATATGAAATTCAATATTATTTTCCGTGCTAAACTACAGTGAAGTGGTTTTTTCCAGGTAATAAGCGCAGCGTACAAATCGACGAAACCTGCGCTATCGAATGGTTACTTGTTACTTGGATAAGGAGTTCTATCTTGCGAGAAATATGCGTGTGTAAAACACAAATATTCTCTTTCTCGTATAGCGTTAAAAAAGCTGTTTCCTTAATCGTTCACATATGGCAGTAGCCAGAGATTTTTGCTTTCAAATGATTGACAAGACTCTTATGAATAGTTTCTACCCAGCAAAATAGGTCCTTTCATATATATCCGGATAACATAAAGGAACCTGAAACAGGTTTCTGTAAACCGTACTCAGCCTCTTCAGAAGTGATTTTTCACAAAAAACAACCATTGGGACAAGCTAGCCAAGTCATGCTGACTTGTGTATTGTGAATCCACATTAATGTCAAATATCCAGGTTAAGAGAGTATGTCTCGTTTCAATCACAGTAGGAATGTAGGTAGAACAAGGCTTCCAGTAAATAGCTAATCAGACAAGGTCTTGACAGAATATAAAGCAAAAGCCCGATTTTCATCAGCCATAGGGATATGTTTTGGTGAAATTTGAATTTTCACACAAAAAAAACTTAATAATGAATGTCTCTGAACTGGAAATCATTGGTAATTTTGATACTAGAAGTCACTTGGCGAACCCGTCCATCATAACCTTATGTCACCGTTAACCACCTGCTAATCACCTCTCTCCCCCTTCCTCCCCTTCCCCAGTTCATATCCCTGCAAAGTTTCAAGGCACAGCAGGTTCGACATGTGACAGAATTCACAGCCGAATGCGTATAATTGTAGTTGTGATTCACCGTAGTCGTCGAGTATATTTGACCTATAACGTATAGCACATGGTGCAGGCAGGCTCGGACTTTATTTAGTCTCTTTGAAATGGTTATAACTTTTGTAATACTTTCCCATTTGGTATTCGGAACAATAGAACGATGATGCCACGAAAATAATTCGTCGAGACTCTACTGATCGCTAGATAAGTACTGGTTCTATTGAGACGTTGCGAGTGGATCACTTATTACGACTTAATAAAGACCTGGTATTTCAGTAACACGGCTTCATAGGATCCTCACAAAAGAAGCCTGATCAAGCGCAGGAACCTGTTTTGATGAAAATTGTGCAAAAAATTTACGGAAATAGACCATCTTACTCCCTGAGTTGTAAGTTTATGTCCACTTCTATCCAAGTAACACATAAGTATAATCACCAAATTGCTTTAATAGTAGTTCACATTGATTTATGAGCACTAATCTATTTTATTGCTGGTTCGTTCGGTAATAAATTGAATGCACTGACATTGACATTGGTTCCGCAAGTGTACATCGCAGTTAACGAATAACTTTTTGACACTGGAATTTCACATGATATCGCCTTGTACAAATACAGGAGGCGTTCGGTCTAAATACCACAAATAGGATTGAAATCAGGGCACTAATTCACTATAACATGATAGATCGCTAGACAAACCGATCCATCGTTAGACCAACAGTCGATGACGAACACGAAATCAACCGGCTGTTCATTGTCAGTACCACGGACAGGAAAGCAATCAGGATTTAGTTCCTGGAAAATTGCACATAAATACCATTGAAAACAAAGCAACGATGCTCATCATCCTGTTACGATCACTTGTTGAGATTAGACTAGCGAAGCAGAATTGAGTCGCACTTTCTAGCCACAATCTGACCTGTTTTGTCTTTCTGCGTTTCAAAGACAAGTGCTGTTCTGCTTATTGATGATTGTCTTCACAATAGTTGAGTTCTCATTTGAAATCACCATCTATTTGTGAGGAAAAAAACGTACCAACGAATGTTTAGTGACTATTAAGAAGAGTAACGCTGTTATGTATGAAGAAGATATCATGATATGAATGCAAGCATACAAATGAGATACCCGATGGATTTCTGGGGATGCGATAAGTGATTTATCGTTATCCTGACTCACTATGACGTGATCATATGATAAGGAAATAAGCCATGCAGTAAACTGATGAGCTAAACACTCCATTAAGTCCTCAGTGATAATATCACTCTATTGTTCTGCTATCGACTGCTTTTTTACAGACCCGCTCAAAATGATTTAATCTGATAAGGATATGACTTATTTTGAGCCATAGGTCTAGTGCTATATAGGCGCCTATTTCGTCCTATTGGGACTCATCAGTAGCACCCTCCCTCGGTTCCGTCGATCCCTTGAGGTTAAATAATCCTCTAAAGGAATCGGCGCCGAGTAAAAAACTAATCACCCAAAGTCGGATGATGGTCTTACCTCACTTTGTGGTGACCGGCAGTCGAGCTTACGGCTTTTAAAATGAACTATACTTCTGCTATCGACTGCTTTTTTACAGACCCGCTCAAAATGATTTAATCTGATAAGGATATGACTTATTTTGAGCCATAGGTCTAGTGCTATATAGGCGCCTATTTCGTCCGTATTTCGTATTTCGCCTATTTCGGGAGGGTGCTACTGATGAGTCCCAATAGGACGAAATAGGCGCCTATATAGCACTAGACCTATGGCTCAAAATAAGTCATATCCTTATCAGATTAAATCACTCTATTGTTTTTGAAACCAATAGAGAAGAGGTTCACGTCTGTTGTGTCGTATGAAAAACAGTTTAGACATCTACTGCGCTCATAGTATGTGCAGTTTCTAAAAATTCTTAAGACAATTTATTATCTGTCTTCGATGTGTTTTTGGTTTTGCTTTTATTCACTATGCAGACTCCACTACCTTTCATTCAGCCGTTTTTTAGCTTCATCGTAACGCTTATCATTGAGATCTCGAGTACAGTCTGGCTGTGGCGTTCCGTAGGGCGTCCACTGTTGACTGCCGAAGAGTGTTCGGAGGTGGGGTTCTGTCCCAATTGCGCCGCGAAGAGTATCCCAACGACTCGACCACAGCGCTTCCCAGTAAGTAAAAAAAATCAAAAAATTGAGAAAAGTAATTAATGTGTAACTAGGCAGAATTTAACTGTAGTGTCACAATGTTGTGCTCGATGTTAAAAGGCTGGCAATGGACCGTTTCATTTCAGGCTATGCGAATTTTCCATGAAGGGAGCATTTCGTAGTCGACAAATAATCTACGATAACAGCATCTACAGTATAAACATATCGAAAAAATACCATGCGATCCAAAAATTTGTGTACTATAATTTCTGCCAGGATAAGAGAGCATTTGGCCGTGCAGATTGCGACTCAATTTGACCTTTCCAGCCTCTGAAAAAGTGATACTCGCAAAAATGTAAGCTAGCTCAACTATCTATATTGTGTTGTCTATGTTGTACTAAATGAATCGTCTTTTAACAACCTCGTGCTTGTTGAATAAGAAAATTACGTAATAAAAGTATCAATTTATCGTTCGGCTATGGTGTTTCAATTTTTTTACTAGTCAGTGAATACACTTAGTGACTTACATATGAGAGAAAGGCCGCGTTCTTAGCTCATCACTCGCCAACCTGAACCGTATCGAACTCTTTCAGATTATGATTATGACACTCAAGCAAGCCTACGTGACACGCACTGCCTTCCACGCATTTCCTTTTGGCTGATTCATTTTGCTTCACCGTTTTTCGTCGTCGCTTTCTATTTGTGATATTTCATTGATAGCTTTCCCACAACACGTTTAATACAAAGCGCAACGAAGAATAAGATTCTTTTCAAACGAAAACTTGTTTTACACTTCTTCGGACGAGCTTTCCGCTAAGCTTCAGAGTTTCTTGCTCATCAACTTACACTGATATATCTAATGATAAGACAGCGACAAATAAGGAGGATCCTAGAGTGTTCATGAGGCTAATTGCAAATACGTGTGTCCCGTTGTCGTTGCCCTTTATACTGACAGAGTAGCGCAGAGAAACTATTGAGGAGATCTCACGATTGATACAGAATACCCGAGTGCGTCAAATTCAATGCAGAGTTTTTGTGTCATAAGCATCTCGGGCATTTTTTTCTCAATAAAATTGATGGAGATCAAAAGGTAGTGAAAACTACGGATATGAATATCAAGATTCCTAATGTTTTTGCTGCTTTTTCGCAGCATTATGATGTTTCAAATGTATCTGAGCAATTGAATGGTAAGCAAAAACTGGACCTCAGGCGGGAGCTGAACCCGTGTTTCACTCCAAACGCATTCCACCACTAGACCACCAAGAGACCTTTTCGCTACCCTTCATTCTTCAACGTCTTTGTTATACCTATCACCCAGCGCCCTCTTAGATACATTTCAAATATCATAATATTGCCAAAAAGCAATAAAAATATAAGAAATCTTGGGTATTGGTATCATAATGGCTGCCAGCCAAACTGGTTTATATAGCAATACTGCTTATCCGACTAAATCTGCTGAAGGTTAGTGGCTGATACCTATGACACAAACGTTTGAGAATAGATGGTAGCGAGACGGTGCCCCTGTAGTGTAGTGGTAGCACGCGCCCCCGATAATGGTGAAACGCGGGTTCAACTCCCACCTGAGGTCGAGTTTTTACTTACCGTTAAATTCTCATAAGTACATTCAAAGATTACAGACTAAACAATTTCGAAATATGTATCGCATATAAAGAGGGACAGCCGAGTGGTTGGTTATGCAGGCTATCAGGAACGAAACGGTAACTCGACGGTCTCTCACGTTTTATGAAATCCACGTAGAAGGACTCAGCTCAGCTATCTTCAAGATTATAATGAGATTCAGCTCGCCCAGTGCTCTACGGCTTCATGGAGAGGACGAAATTTTCAGGTAGTAGTCAAAGCAGCCGGCGAAATGTTTGAAGAACTTTGAAAGGAGAAGGAGCTTATCGGACCAAACTCGTTCGCTCAAGTTGGCTATTGCAGCTTCGACAGTTTTTATCGTAAAAAGAGTGGTAGCAAAGCGGGTGGCTTCAGTGGTAGTGATGGTACGCGTTCCTGGTATGAATGAAACGCGGTATCAACTCGCAGCTGGGGTCAAATGTTTTGCATGGGACTTAACACTTTCAGATGTTTAAATACCTTTGGGACGATGAATGAAAGGAAACGAATCGAATGCAAGAAGTTCTGGGATCCGCATAGTAGATGTGATGACGAGTCACGTAGGAAATAATAAATAATATTAGGTATGTCATTGATATAAAATTTGGTCCCCGCATGATTTATTCAAAAAGACAATATTGTACAATCCATCCTTGTCGCTATCACTAGCATAACAATCGCTAATGACCATAAGATCAGCTCTTATCAGTTCTTCAAACACATCATGTGTTCTACAGATTACCACAGGTAAACAATTCGTAAGTCCAAGCATCATTCATGACCTTATCAAATGATCAAATCCTCACCCGACTATTTGATTTATCACAAGAGTGAGCGAACAATTCACTCTTGCTTATTTGTTTTATAAGACCCGTCTTCACATCTCCCTGTGCGGGTCCCATTACTTCTTGCGTTTGATTCGTCTATTCGCATTCATCGCCTGCTGAATGTTACCTCCTTCGTGAAGGCGTAGGATACTTGTCATGTAGTCTTTCTTGGTATCACGAGGAAAGCGAATTGGAGAGTTCCTTAGGTTGATTGCTAATTGATGCTAGAATGTTAAGGGGCGAACAACTTTGCACCATGCTTCACTAACCATTCGTTCACCCGTAGGAACAAAGATTCAGACCTTAGCAAGGGTAGGTGGAAGTCGACTAACGTCAGTAAGCCCTGCTGTCCTTAATCATTAAGGCTGTTTGATTTTTTCCGTTTCTCATTGACTAGGACGACTTGAAGAAGTCTCGGTACGCTTTAGCCAAAATTTCTAAGAAGAAATTCCATGACTCACATAGCTTTATTCCATCACTGGCCAACTACGTAAGTGAAGTGAAAGATATCTCATGAATCTATCTATTGGCAAACAATACTTGGGCTCATAAAAAACTCAAAAAGCAGCCAAACCTTGCTAATGTAATCAATAACTTAATGTCCTACGACCTCCTTTGTCAAACGACGGAAGTTTGAACACATATAGTTCGTCATCATTCACTCCTTTTTACCTGATGTAATAAGCAGAACTTCACATGCTCCAAAAACTTACAGGTTTTTCTCGACGGCAGAAACTAGACCCACTTCTGAGCAATGATGAAACTACCAAAGATAAAGAGTCAACGAGATTCTTAGATCAAGCCCGGCAGAGAAGAAGAATAAAGAACTAGCCTAGGAAATCAGGTTTAGCTGTTAAGCGTCTACGCGTTCTCAAAGTACCTTCTCTCATCTTTACTTTCGCAAGCCAAGAGAGTACCAAGAGAGCGACCAGCCAATATACTGATCCACAGATATTAGAAACTTTATTACAAATATAATAGGAAAATTTTGACAACAGACAACAGCTAATACACGTTTGTACATCCAATTAATATGTACAGAACAGAAATGGGACCCCCCAATAATAAAGACAACGCATTTCACGAATCCCGTTGTCTGATGGCTTACAACACACAAGTGCCCCCAATACCCAAGACGACTCTTCTTTACTTAGCATGGCACCGTGAGCATAAGTACAACAAAACAATGGAAATTGAGAAAGTGATTTAAAGATCACTTCATGTAATCTCTCTTCGCCAAAGCTGCAAACACCATCTAAATCAATCAATGTCACTGCTAGATGTTGCGCGAACCAATAAGACAAACATCAAAAGAATTAGGTCAAAGATTCGTTCAAAATGACTAACCATCACCGAGGATCTTGGTTTGGTGCTTCAACAACTCCTTGAACCGTTCATCCTGGAAGAAAAAAATATTGAACTTCAATTATAACATTACCATTTCAAAAAAAAAACCTCGGTGATCGATCCTTTTCTTTCGACATCAGGAGATTCCCGTATGCTGCTCTGGCCCCAACCGAACCTTCCACTAGGGGATGTGCCAAAGATCATTTCACTAATACTGATACGACGAGGACGTGGAGCGTTTCCATGAAGCACACTAAAGCTTGTAATAGAGGTCCTCAGTGGGATAGAAATGACCTAGTAAAGTAGAAAGGCAGGTTTTCTTCACTAACCCGGTACTCGGTCGTTCCGAGTCACTTGAGCTAAGTGACATGGTACGCTGTCTCTGAGTTTCCTTCTTTTGCTTCCATAGCACATCAGTATCATAGTCAGGACGAATCTGAAGTCATTTCACTCGAATTTGAAAACATCATTCAAACTAGTTGCAAAGAGGTTAATGTCTGTATAAGAAAACATCAAAAATTCAGCTAACTCCTTTATCTTCAACGTGCGATCCTACAACAGGCTTGAAAGTAACATTCGAATTTCCAACCAATTCACTCACAGTTGGCGCTTTCGACATCCTGTAAACGGTGACGAAACTGACCGAAATCACTGGCGCGAATGACTTCAACAACTATTCAAATCTTTCATAACTCTGTCTGTGCCGCCCCTTTTTCACTCCCATTCACTCGGCAAGGGCACTTCCTCATCCTGCACCCGCTGGACACGTGGTTGTTGCAGATAAACAAAAAGTGCAAGCAGTACTACCAGTGATCAGAAATTGCACTACTTTCTCTGAAACCTGTCTAACAGAAAGATCTCGGGAAAAGAATGAACCGGAAATAAGGCAAATATTTAGATAGTAGCATATTATGACAACAAATTGGAGAAAAGGAGGAAAATGAAAGACTAAACCGTTGACGGTCGGAGTTGCACACAGATTCGATACCCTGTATCGCAGAAAAAAAAGCAGAACAGGAGCCGCAGTAGCGCAGTGATTAACAAGTGTCACAGGAAAGGTGAGACGCGGGTTAGAATCCCGCCCGAAGTTCAAAGTTTTGCGCATCACTCAAAATTCTTGGTTGTAAAATATTAGCGTTCAAAACTACTCTCACGGCTTGTCAAAATGATAAAACTGTAAAACAAATCCGTCTGGGCTATGAGAAGTTGTACAACATCTCTTCGATGAATTTGGTCTGAGATAGACACTGTTGTACCCCTGTGATCTGAATATTGCAAATAAACCGACACCTCATCCGGAAAAATTCTAGGTCTTCTCATAAGTTCGGGCACTAGAGCAAGAAACAGCGAATTTACTAACCAAGAGTGATTGAAGTTTCTTAACAACATTAATAACTCCTCGATAGAGAAGTAGTATCCTGTTCAATTGCTTCGATGACGTCCTTCGATGATCAACTTTGCGTGGACGTCCGGAGCGCAGCTGGTCCTTCAAGTTGATGTTGGCGGCGCAAAACTGAAAAAAGAACCGAAGCGCTGTTCGCCTGGACACAAATCCTTGAACCCTTGCACGATTGATGCCTTCGGAAGCGGTCTGTTCATCGCGTCCCAATTCGTACTCGTGAGGCAGCAAATTGCGACAAAGGCTTCGTTACGTGGCCCATAATGAGGCAAATACGGACAAAGCTGACACCAAAAAAAAGCTCGGGAATATCTGCTCAAAGCGGTAATGATTTGTTGCTTGAGAGATGGCAGAAAATGTGTTCAGGCTGATATTGCATATTTCGAACAGTTTTGTTAAGCAATTTCAATTCCTTCTGTTTAAGAAATTTGGTGTTCATTGCGAATACCAAAAAAAACAAAATTACCCATTTTGTCAGGCCCTTTGCTGTGATGGTCTATGAAGATTCCACTTTAGAACGCCAAATGTGGAAGGAATGTGGTTCATTTTATAAAGAATACCATCTCATGAAGTGTCCTTTCTTATACAGATCTTGCCCGAAGGGCACACCTCCAGAAACGGGTGGCCAACGTCTCGGCGACTTCGCCCTAAGCAGATGTTCAACTGCCTACATGAAAGAGGTCACCACTACTTTGTTCTTCACAGTGAAAGAACAACAACCTCTCGTAAAACACTGATTAATGCCATTTTTCATAGTGCTTGACAACACACGGGTGAGCTTTCCTGAATAAGCAGTTAAATAGCTCTGAAGAGGCTCGATTCTAGAGAAGGTATACCTTCGTGCACACCTTTTTATAAAAAACAGCCCGTGGTTCACTAATTTCTTTTTCAGAGTGATGGAGTTACATAGTAATAATCTGTGTTGGAGGAACGGAAAAAAGCGGACGTGGCCTGGGCGATAGTTGTTTATTTGTGCAAGTGTCACAGACACCAGTTCAACACACATCACCCCTCAAACTGGACAAACATGTCGTTTTGGAAATGATCGACACCAACATAACATCTATACGATTCCAACACAAGGAATCGATCAGAGATTGATATATACCATTTTTAGCAGTGATGTTATGCCATAACTGCATGACTGGTGATGTTGGATGACATGCAGAAACTTGATCCCAGAGTCGGAGTTGAACCCATGTCTCACCCGTTCCAGAAATGCGTGTAACCGCTGCACTACCTCGGTCCCTTTTCTGTCATCATTCTTTCGGCGAAACGGCATCGGCATAAAACGCAACTAAGGAAACAGCGATTGATGGATGCAATCCACAAGAAATCTTCAATAAGGCGCATTTTTACACTGGGTAATGGTTATAACTATATAACCAATTACGCTGA